GGTCATTTTTTGTAACACAATTTAACCTAACTAACGAAACAGTCTTCCATATACGGTACCCTAAAGTTGACACCAGATAATATATATATACTGTTTATATAACCCATTGTGTATATTCCGTTATGAAACCAGTAGAGCCTCTATGTTTACCACTAGACCCGGAAATAAGAGGTCAAAGTTCATAAGGTTAGCCATTCCTTAGTAATGTTCGGTGCTTTGTGGTCACGAGAGGTCATCAGTTGGGTTTAATGATCACTTTAGACAAAATAAAGACGTGTTGTGTTGTAGTGACGACTGGAGATGTGTTGGTTCATGTGGTCTTGTGTGCGTCTCTTTTTCTCTCTCATTTTGTCTCTCTTGTTATGTCTCTCTCTCTAATTCACTCTTTGTCTAATTCTCTCTTTCTCTTATTCTCTGTGTCTTATTCTGTGTGTCTCTTATTCTCTCTTATTCTCTCGCCTGGCTGTACTCTCTCGTGGACCCCATCACCCCTCATTGTGCCGTGGCAGTACACACCCTCAAGTGACCCTCTCCACTGTATTCATTCCCAGCTGATAAGAGACCGAGATGAGAGAACTATCGATGAAAATAATAATAATAGATTAATTCAAATAAATACACCATCTTCTTTTTTATGCAACCCTGAAAAATGTCATCTTCACTCTTATACAACCCTGATATACGACCGGGGTCAAGGTTACCCAGTTGGTGTGCCAAGTCTTTCTGTTTACGTAGTCTGACTGTGGTATATTGATCTATGGTCTCAGGGTAAATATCGTAATTATTGATGAGCTGTAATTAAATATCACTGTTGATTATATTTTTGCGTATTGTAGTTGTTGATTTATTACACACACACACACACACACACACACACAGACACACACACACAGACACACACACACACACACCTAATGACAGGAACATTCCTAGAAATTTGGTTTAAACTTTCCTGTGACATTGATGAAGGCCATTTATGCTCCGTCGCCTTACCATAAAGGGCCTGGACGGGTTAACAAGGGCCATTTACACCCCCCCAGACTTTAAAGGTGCCATTAGACACCACCCGTAGTGACTTAATATGCGAAAAAAAAATGGTCGGGTTCGATTGCTTACGGCTGATTTATGCTGAGTGAGGAGAGTGTTTGTGTGAGACCTGGAGGAGTGTTATGGTGGTGGTGGTGGCCTCTTGGGGGTGATTTCTCTCTCTCTCTCTCTCTCTCTCTCCCATTCCTATCTTTAATAATAATAATGATAGTTTCAGAGATATTAGTTGTTATATTAGTAGTAATAATAGTAGTAATAGTAGTAATGTTATAAGAACGATGACAATAGTATTAACAATTGTATTAAAATTATAATAATGATGATGATGGTAACAACGGTAATAGTAAGAGAATAATAATCTTAAGTCAGGCACGCCAAGTCCGCATATCACAAGCCATGTTTACTGCCCAACTTGTCATGAACCTCAGCAAGATAGTGTGGCCAGATTTCACGCCTGCTGACTCTCTTGTTTCTCCCACACGTATAATTTTGGCCGTCCGTGTGTTTGTGTCTGTATCGCTGCCAAGATGGTAGGGTCCGGTGCACGTGTGTTTGTCTGTACTCATTGTCATGCTGTCTGTCTGTCTGTCTGTCTGTCTGTCTGTCTGTCTGTCTGTTCCTTCTCCCATATTGAGGTGTTTCCTTATTCTCAAAAAATTATCTACGGTGATCTTTTTTCTCTTCATAATTCGTGATTAAATAGATTATTTAGCTAGTTGGGTTAGTCTCTCTCTCTCTCTCTCTCTCTCTCTCTCTCTCTCTCTCTCTAATTCACCAAGCAAGTATATAGTTATGGTCTCTGTACAATTTGATCTTTATCATGTATGTGCTTTAATCCAGCCACACCACACCACCACACACACCACACCACACCGCCACACCACACCACACCACACACACCACACCACACCACAAACCACAGCACAGCACACAGCACACCACAGCACACCACACCACACACCACCACACCACACCATACCACACCACACCACACCACACCACACCATACCACGCCACACCACACCACACCACACCACACCACACATACGATTATATCATCTAAAAATAATCCCGTACAAGGTTATTTGTGAGGGAAATGAGGCAGAATTTATGTTCCCTCATCAACATATTAATGAGGTAGCCGGTGGTATATAGGAGAGCATTTTATTACCAGTTAATAGAAACGTGTTTTATGAGGGGCGATTAATATTGTGAATTATATCGATTGACGCAGTGGAAAGATGGATGAGGTGGGATTTGTTTTATGTTGTAATGATAGACAGGTGAGATAGGATTTACCTAGGATTAAGAGAGAGGCGAGGCAGGATTTACGTGGGATTAAGTGATAGGTAAGAGGATTTATATGACATTACGAAACAGGTGAGGTATAATAAAAGGGACTTATTTTTTCAGATTAGGTTAGGTTAGGTTCTGGTTATGTTAGGTTAGGTTAGGTTAGGTTCAGGTCGTTTGGTTCAATGAGAAAAGAACATGGCAGTGTTTTTAGCCCTTCTGTTCGTGGTATATTTTATTTACATTGGCCAACTTGTATGTCGTTAGTTAGGTTAGGTTAGGTTAGGTTAGGTTCAGGTCGTTTGGTTCAGGTCGTTTGGTTCAATGAGAAAAGAACATGGCAGTGTTTTTAGCCCTTCTGTTCGTGGTATATTTTATTTACATTGGCCAACTTGTATGTCGTAGTAGGTTAGGTTAGGTTAGGTTAGGTTAGGTTCAGATCGTTTGGTTCAATGAGAAAAGAACATGGCAGTGTTTTTAGCCCTTCTGTTCGTGGTATATTTTCTTTACATTGGCCAACTTGTATGTCGTGGTAGGGCCAGGAACATCCGCTGTGACGTCTCATAGCTACCTGGTGGGCGAGGTAGTAATTAGCTCGAGCGGGTTTTACTACAATTAATTTCGGGAAGTTGAATGTTCTTAGGGGAAGAAGACAGTGCTATGCTGGCGTTGTCGTCAGAGATTACTTGTGTTTCTGGAATCCTACTGGAGGAGACCGCCCACGCTAGACCAGGGGGGAGAGGGGGAGGGAGGGATGGAGGGAGGGATGGAGGGAGGGGAGTAGGGGGGGGGAGGGGAGGGGAGGAGGGGGAGGAGGGGAGGGGGGGGGAGGGAGGGAGGAGGAGGGAGGAGGGAGGGAGAGAGGAGGGAGGGAGGGAGGAGGGAGGAGGAGAGGGAGGGGGAGGGGAGGGAGGGAGGAGGGAGGGAGGAGGGAGGGGAGAGAGGAGGGAGGGGAGGGAGGGAGGGGAGGGAGAGGGAGGGAGGGGGGAGGGAGGGGAGGGAGGGGAGTAGGGTGAGTAGGGGAGGTGGAGGGAGGGAGGGAGGGGAGGGAGGGTGGGAGTAGGGGAGGGGAGGGAGGGAGGGAGGGAGAGGAGGGGGGGAGGTGAGTGAGGAGGGAGGGAGGAGGTAGGGAGGGAGGGAGAGTAGGGAGGGGGAGGGAGGGAGGGAGGGAGAGTAGGGAGGGGAGGGAGGGGAGGAGGGAGGGAGGGAGGGAGGGAGAGTAGGGAGGGAGGGAGGGAGGGAGGGAGAGTAGGGAGGGAGGGAGGAGGATTGTGGACTACGTGGAACAAGATCTTAATAGTTCCTGAAACTCCTGGAATACACCGGGCTATATTTGGGGGTGTACATCTCTCTTAATCTCTTGATGCTGGTCTTAGGATTTCTCTGATGATGAGGCTCGTGATTACCCCCCTCCTCCCCCTTCTGTCTGTGTGTCTGTTTGTTTCTGTTTGTCTGTCAGTATGTCTGTCTGTCTGTATTTCTCTCTCTCTCTCTCTCTCTCTCTCTCTCTCTCTCTCTCTCTCTCTCTCTCTCTCTCTCTCTCTCTCTCTCTCTCTCTCTCTCTCTCTCTCTCTCTCATATACTTACTGACTATCACACCAGGATATAATAACTATACCAATAAATGCATCTGTTTATAACTAAGAGTTTTCAGAGAATCACTTTAAGAGTATAACAGAGAAACACAAGAATGTTTTAGTCTGCCACTCAAAAAAATCCAATGTTTACGTTTTCTGTAATACGCTGCCTTTGTTTGTCAGGGTAAACGAAGGTATATTATCAATACTATTCCCTAAATTATAGTTAATTTTATGCTCTCATTAAATTTAAATTTTTTAACTTAATACGACCAGATATATTTAGAATTCCATAAACTCTTCTATACTTACACCAAATACTTATACATTCATCCATACATATAACTAGAGACATTTTACACTTATACATAATTTAAACGTATAATATAATACACTTATCGATACTTACACTTCACAATCTTTATACATTCATCCATACATACACTCTGCATTATTATACACACACCCTTACATACACTCCACACCCTTATACACTCACTCATACTTACACTTACACTTCACACTTATACCCTCAATCTATCATCACTCTATTATCTATATTTTTCCTGTCTACTACGATTTATTCTCTCGATATGCACATTTTTTATATCAACTTGGCACTCTTAAGGTGGATATGGGTGCCAGATTTTAACACCCCGGCCCTCGTACCTTCACTAACCCACACAGACAAGTGGATGAAGGTGATTGATTGCTTTATTAGGCTGCTACATCTTGCTGGTGATAATAATTCCCTTCAATAATCTGATATATTTCTTATTTGGATTTTTCTATCTTTTTTTCTTCGTATTTTTTTATCTTTTATTTCTTTCATTGATTTTCTTTTTATTGATATTTTTCATTATTGTAGATTTAATTTTTTGTTGTTTTGGTTGAATTTATTCTTCTTTTCTGTCTTTGTTATCAAGTCTTTCATTACCTCAAGTTATTATTCATTTTTTTTGTTTCTTTCTTTGCATAGTTAATGTTTATCTTCATTTTTTATATAGAGAAACATAGAGAGAGAGAGAGAGAGAGAGAGAGAGAGAGAGAGAGAGAGAGAGACGAGGTGAAGTAAACACTGTATTTATGACACATTTATTTGTACAATGTATAAACAATAGACCTACATTCATTGCCTAAATTCTTCAGGCTACTTTTGGCACCTTCCAGTATATTAAATTAAGCACGTATTTTTTGTTTATATTTCCCAATTAGCCAAGACGCGGATACAACTCGGCTAAAAACGAATAATCATTTGTGTTATTGGTAGAATTTACTCTCTCCTTCAGCGCGTGTCAGTCTTGTTTTTAGAAGCCCTATGACACGCGAGTAGAAATTTTGGTAACACAGAGAAACTCGATTTATATATGTCCCTTCCTCTTCTACCCTTGGCGGAGGACCGGTCATCCCCAGCCTCCTGTAGCCTCTAGTCTAGTATCATTAACCTGATGTCCACAAGGCTATGGTATTAATGACAGTCTTGTGGATACCAGGAGCAGCTTGTAGGCTGGGTGTGACGGTCCGTGGGAGGAGGTCTGGTAATGAGTGTCTCTGTTGTTAGTCGCAGCTTCTACGGCCCTTGTAGACTGACATGGATAAGATTTCTTTAACTTATTTGTCTTGTCTTATTTTACTAACCGCAAATCGATTTTTTTTTAAATTTTATTAGAATTTGGATTATTGAGTTTAATGAATTTGGGTTTGGTTTAGGTACGTCGGATATTTTTTTTTTTTATAATTCTTGCATGGTTCAGACGTGAGAGAACCATGTTGTGTGCCCACCAAGACCAACACTCGACACACACACACAGAGGGCGGGGCGGTGGGCGGGCATTTTACGTGACACCTAAAGGAGAAATCTGAAAGCCGAAAATGAAGCTCTCGAAATGGACCGTTCTTTATACAAGATGGCGAGGGAAAAGAACGCATCTCACGGGTATTTAAAGGCAAAGAATTTTATTTCAGTAGGACGAGGCTTTTTATTTATACAGTATATATACCCGGGTTATATAAACTGAGGGTTTACGGCTTTTTCTTCATTGAGAGACACTCAAACAAGATGAGTTTTATTTTCAAGACACTTCACTGATCTGGTGAGTGTGTCTTGTTCGCCCTTTATTTTGTTGCGTCTCTGCGACTCATCAATGACAGCCGTAAAATCGTCTCCCACACACATTGATGTACTTCTCTGGTTTCGTTTATATATATATATATATTCGTAGCGGAAATAACATGACCTTTGTAAGAGTTGTTATTATTTGCAGGGAACAAAAGATACCATCAAATATGTTTCATCTCATAGCAATAGGAGGGCGACCAAGGGAGGCGGAGGGGGTGGTCAGAGGGAGGTTCTAGGTGTTGTGTGCTCCTCTCCCCCATGTAACACCTTCATGAGTCCGGTGGCATCCTGTCTCCCCAGAAGGATGCGTCCGGAGAAGGGAGGTGAATGAAAATTATTATTGGCATAGTGATGTCCTTGGACTGACCAGCACAAGTAGTTTGGTGCCAATGGCTTAATATTTCTTGTAAAAAAAAGTAAAAAGAAGAATTTCCAAAATCAATGGCGTCGGGTATTGATTTTTCTACAAGTTAACTGTAACAAAATACTGATGCTGTGTTGATTCTTTTTTGTTTACACATATACAGATATTCCCAATAAATTTCCTACGTTATCAGCAATATGAAGTTTGCATTGATTTACATAGATAATTAAATGTATTTATTTTTCTTAATTTACAACCGGGTTTCAAGAAATAATGCCTACTGTATATGGATGGGAAATTAGATTCAGAACTTGTGCTTTTAATCATAATTGATCTCGAGTCTTGAATATTATAATATCTATGTTTATAATGTCAGTAATTGTTTGTTATGGGGAAGAGGTATTAGTTGCCAGGCCTGAACGTGACTCCGAAGACCCACTTCGCGTTTTACAGAGCTCCCAAGAAAATCTCTAATACAGGGCATTGATAAAGTACAAAAAGTGGTCCTTACAGCCAAAGAAATATTTACAGCCAGATTTATGTAACATGATGATACACATAAATAATTTTTTTTAAACTGTAGGAAATATACAGCATTACAAGGCAACCCAGCGAACGAAAGGGAGTGATGACCTATAAACACGGTCGAGTGAAGGAGAACTGTCACATGCGAACAACAACTGCCAAAACCTTTCACACCACACACACACTAATTCTCGACCTTTAGTGCAATATATCTCCTCTCTATTGTCGACACACTCATACACACAGCCCTGTACAGCTCTCATGTGCCACAACCCATAACAACAGTTTGCTTCCTGCTGGAGGCTAAGAGAGGAATCTAGATCATATATGTGGAGGGGGAGGGTGGAGGGGTGGGGGGGGCTGTCCAGGAAGAAACACCAAGTCCCCTCCCCCACACCCCCGCGTGAGCTTGTTGACTGTACAGTATAGATCAACGTTACTGTATTAACATATGTTATTCTTCACAGTCATGAGAGTTTCTAAGGTGAAGGCTTTGGGTGTGAAAATGTGACGTTCATTCAGGGTCTTGTTTCTTAATATTGAAATCACTTGAAACATTTAATAGTCAAACACAGATAATGATTATGACTGAATTTAGGAATTTTAGAAGTTAAGAAATAATACACATAATAACTTCAGTTCCTTGGAGTGTTTTTTTTTTTTTACTTTAGATTTTGTTATGTATTGCGGTTTCTGTTTATATTTATTTTCCTTCGGCCTTTATTGTTCCTCCTTTTCCTTTATTTCTCTTTATTTTCCATTATTTTTCGAGTTGTTTCTGTTTTCTTTTGTCAATTAACTTCCATCAGGTGTTATTTGTTATTCCTGGGCGACACGAGTGTCTTAAACACGCCAGCCAATCCGACGTTTGTTCATTATTTTTTTTATACAAAAATCACAATGTTGTCAGCACGTGAGGAGAACACTGTGATGACCCCCAGGAGGACAGTCATTTAAGGCTTGTTTTCCTATTCACAGTACTAGTATTTATCAACCTTACGGAGCAGCACCTGGGGGCGTTCATCACATCCTACGTCGTGTACAGAAACCCTGTAAAAAAACTTACACGAGACCTGTACGTAGAAAGGGTAGAGAAGGGGTACAAACATATATAAATATTACTTCAAAATACTTTATACAATTCTATGAGACTTTTTTTTAATATTAACCTACAAAGTTGTTGTAGATGATACAGGGGTAATATAGGTTTATTTATCACATTTAGAGCAGCCTTAGCGCTGTGTAGTGGGGCACCACCACTACCCCTGACACCGCTACAATGGTCACCTGACAACTCGCGTCACAGGTGTGTATTGCAAACAAGGTCAGACAGAGTGTTTAGCCTTCATTGCTATCGTCTGTCTCCTTACTGTTAATTGCTGAGGTAAGAATATTAGTCGACTGGACATGACCTGTTGAGTCTGACTGTTGAGAGTGTGTGCAATAGAACACTGACTTATAATGCAATTCACTACTTCATATTAGATGTGGGTTGACCATTAATAGACTGTGCATTCAAGTTAAAAGGAATCCATTGCATCACACGCTAATATGAATAGAAACCGAGGAATGATCAACACCAGGGACATATACACCGTCCCACCCGTGTTGTCTTGCCTACACCTGGTCACCTCACAATAACGATATAGATAAATAACATTCAAGGCATGATATTATTAATAAGCGTATCTCTCCAGACTGGTCACGGGGCTGGCCAGGTACTGTATATAACATCACTGACCCTGGAACTATGCCGTCACCTTATAAGTGTATAAAATAATCGTCAATAACTAATATTATTCTTGGCCGGGATAGTTAATAGGGTCTTACCATCTGCGGTAATGAACAGCGGTTACCTTTACTGTGACCGCTACGGATGTGTTTATTGTCAACTGATGGTCCTTCTTGTTGAGTGTCCGCTGATATAAGTGGTCGCTGAGTGTATGTGGTTGTGTGTAAGTAGAGGGCAGGGGGTTGTGGTGTTGGGTAGGGAGGAAGAAACAGTGGGAGGAGGAGGAGGAGGGGAAGCAATTGGTTTCACTGAATAATTCAATACACTGATGTAGGAAACGTGCACATATATATTTTTCCTATAAATTATTATTTTGTATTTAGAGGTACGATGTATTAAAGGAACTGGAGGACATCTGTATATAAGAGTACTGAGAATGGATTGTGTATCTGAGGTGATGGATAAAAAATGTATATCGGTATGTAACAGCGTCTGACGGAGTTGATTATGTATACTGACGGGCCAGCGGAGGTCTGTCTCGAGCACCACGGGTCTGATGCTGTGTTAAAACGTCTTGCGGTGGTTCGTGAATGGCGAAGCAGGCAAGAGCTAGATGCGTGTGCTGAATCCATGGAGATGACCCGAAGGATCTCTGCAGTGGATAAAGGACAATTCCTTATGGATGCTGACGTCCTTCAGGATCCGTGACCCCTTAGGAATCGCGGAGATAGCCCGGCGGTTCACTGCAGTAGTGCCTAGTTATTGTCTATGGATACTGGAGACCGTCAGGCCACTGGAAGAGGCATTGTGGCCGAGAAGCAGAACTGTGCAGATGAATTATTAAAGCTTCTTTGGTGTGGTTCACGGATACTCTCTGTGGATGCTCGCCTCCTTCAGGATCTGCGAACTCCTGGGAGGCGTAGTGGCTGAGGATGAGAGCCGCTGTGACCGGAACACCGTGTTCTGTAGAGTCCTCTTCCACTTGTCCTGTGTGTCTCTCAGCTTCAGCAACCAAGTTTGCTGATGAGGTAAAGTGAAGTGAGAGACATGTATGAGGAACTATGGTTGATTATTCTCTCGTAAGTGTAAATAATAAGAATGATTTAAGAAACACATCAAATTGTTCCTTCATGACTCCAATATTTACACAGGTCTTGATGGTTTGTATCTTGTTATTAATAATTTTGCAGTTAAAACTTATATTAATTTATCTTAATCTGAAAGGGGAACACAAGTGTGAAAAGTATATATATATATATATATATATATATATATATATATATATATATATATATATATATATATATATATATATATATATATATATATATATATATATATATAAATCCGAGGAGACAAAGTGACTGAGTTTATAAGATAAAAACTCCTGGAACGTGTGAGAAAAGGTCCATAAGAAAAAATATTATTATGAAGTTGAAAGTTATAGATTTATGTCTAAAAGTCACCTGTAGCCTTGTTTTAGTTAAGCCTGGAGAGTGAACACGAACCAGGAAGTTGTCTGAACAATTAACTCCGCTGGAATTATAGTTAAGGAACAGAGACACACCTCCATCTCTCTACACCAGATGGCGTATATGTGTTTTTTTTTTTTTACATAAGTGTCGTTTCATATGTTATTACCCACTTATCTTCTTACAGTAAGCATCTGTGTTTATGTCTGGAAAGTATAGACAAACACGAATTGGATCTAGACCTTTGATGTATATATCCTAGAACTGCATCTTTCCCCAATCGTGGTAGTACAACACTCCTCAAGTTGTTCCTGGACAGCTGATTCACCCTGGCACCTCTTCCCTGTACCCACCTTGATCTGTTCCGTCTGTGCCTGGAAGGTGTACACAGCGACAATCTGCTGGAAGCGGTTGAGGTTGACCAAGACGAAGGCGGCTTCCAACTTAGAGGCAGCGGACTCGTGAGGGGTCACATCATGGATAAAGAATCGATCGAGGGAGAGTGGCTGCTTGTACACGATATAGCGAAGGGCGGAGTCACTACCCGTCGACCCCCTGGAACAAGAGCTTGGCCAGTTCTCCGTCAGCGATGATTTCTGAAAGTGGTGGTTGTGGTTAAACAGTGTGGTAATGAGGATGATAGGATTTAACCCTTTTGAGGGGTGGGGAATCCTTCAAACACGATCTTGAGACATGAAAGATTTTATATCCTCTTGGGGCGTCCCTCAAAACATTCCTATATAAAAGAGGAATATTATATCCTTTTTGGAGTTCCTCAAGACGTTCCTATATATAAAGATAAGGAATAACTCACCTTTTTGTGTAGTCCTTTCTTCCTCCTGGTGATGAGCAACATGTCGTCGAAGAGTATGACGTACATCTCCTGTGGTTTGTTGTTGTCTAACATGTGTAGTGACCCTTCCAGGATGATCTGTCGTCGCGGGGAGACGATCAGTCGCTCACACGGTTGTCGTGATATGGCCCCCTGTACCGGGAGAGAGATATATTCGGTATACTAGGAGAGAGAGATACTGGGGTACTGGGTAGAGATGCTGGTGTACTCGAGACATGTTAACTTCCTACACCGGGAGAGTATTATATTGACACGAAATTTGTAACTCACGGATGCGAGAGAGAGGATAAAGTAAAGCATAAAAATCCCCACAATATTATAAAACAGTAACGGTTCCAATAACATACCTTTAGGAACTCCGGAATGTAAACTTTGGGGTCGAGTTCAGTAACAGGCGGCCACACGATGTTTCTCTGGATTTCTAGTAAACGTTCAAAGTTCTTAAGCCATTTCATCTTGTCGTCCAACTCCCCTGTAAAGGTCAGAAGGAACTTAGTCTGGATAATTAAGACAACAAACAAACTGGGAATGTGTTTTGGTGTGTGGAAGGAAATAAGGAGATACAAGAGATATAGCACACACACACACACACACACACACACACACACGCATTGACGATATATACATCCTTACATATATTCATGTGAGAATGGTTGCGTATGAAGGAATGTAAGTGTATGTGTGTGTGTCTACATTCCGGCATGTACATGTGTGTGGGCGTTGTCTTATCAAGCTACGATAAGTCATTTACAGCAACAGTCATTGAGTGGCTCCTCTGTAATCTTTGCCTATGAAGGTTCTACTAGACTCAGTAGTAACTAGTCTAAACCATTAAGGGGCGTCTCACCACCAGGAATTGTGTATGATAGTGTGTCCATACAGCGCTGTGAATACAACTGTGGAGGGAATGCCAATCCTCCATTCTAGGTGATAATGGAACTCGTGGCAATTTGCATACGAGGTTGACAACTCTACTGACTGAATTACCTTACAATTACAATAATGCTATAAACAACAAGTATAGAAAATACAGTATAAAACAGAAAATAAATTCACCTAGAAATACATCCGTGACCACCAACATTCAGCTGGCCACAACCGTTATAAATAGTACTGTACCTGAACGACAAAACCCTTGCCACTGGTTTAATCTATACAACACCCCTGTGACCCAGTGACGCATTAGTGTTGATAACCCCAACAATAGCTCACAGCGCCACACAATAACTGTATCAGCTGACTCCACCACCTGATTGCCCTCGACGCTCGCTATACACAAGAGCTCTTCACCTGTCAGAGTGTGTGTTACCTGTGAGACTCTGACACCAGGACAGGACAAGGTGAGTGGGATTGTCTCTAGCTTGTGATATAACTGCTTTAATGTAAGAATTTTGTTTTATTTTGTTTTAGATTTGTGTTTCTTTCCTCCTTTCCTCTCCACTTGTCTGTCTGTCTGTCTGTCTGTCTGTCCATCAAATATACGACATTTTAATATCACTTTCAGTCGGGTTATACAGATGAACTTGCGTTAATTATGATATACGAATCATATATGAGTGTCTACTAATATACACTCGATATATTAGTATACCAATAATATATATAAAATATATAACTGTATATTTTTAAGTGAATTATAAATAAGTTTGTCCAGTAACAAATGCACGACAAACAAACTTTTGATCCGATTATATCTGACGGAACCGATTTCATTAATCTGTGGACTGTGGGCGCTCAGGGATACAGTACTTGTTCAACTTTAATTTGAATGAGCACAAGGGGAGTCTATTTCCGTACTGTTTTATAATACTATACTCTGTTATAATTCTACACTGTACTTAACTGCTATACTCTATTATACTGCTCTACTGTATTATATTTCTATACTTTACTGTACTGCTATACTGTAATATACTTCTATACCTCTACTATATTATACTTGTATACCTGCACTGTATTACATTGCTATACTGCATTATATTTCTCTTTGTACTATATTGCTATACCATATTACAGTGCTATTCCATATTATAGTGTTATACTGTTACCATACTGTGTTGCAGGGTGATGGAGGACGCTGATCTAGTATGTAGTGAGTGCCGTCAAAAGTACTCGAAGGGGGAGAGGTGTCCTCGGGCACTTTTCTGTGGTCACACCTTCTGCACCCACTGCCTCGACCAGGTCATCCTCAGGAAGAGCCGACGATGCCCTATCTGCACCCGCCCCTTCATCGCTCTCTCCGCTACCCAGCTCCCTACAGACTTCACCCTACTGAAGCGTGCCTCCTCCAAGACCGATCCTGGGTCAAGTTTCAATGTCTCTGGCATTTCTAGTTACCTGTCCAAGTCTCTGAACTCAGATCCCCAGAAGAAGATTCCTTCAAGAACATTATCATCCAATTCCTCCCCTTCAGAATTATCGTCATCAGTATCGTCTGTTGCAGCCAAGAAGCCACTGAACTCGTCTTTAAGTTTACAAACAAGTAGTTCCTTAAGGAGTTTGTCCGCCACCTCAGCCAGTCAAGGTTATAAGTCCACAATTTCTCCCACAACAACGAAAAGCTTCCACTTACCTTCGATAGGGACGACTTCACCAACCTATTCCATTCTAACACCGAGACTCTCTTCAGTTCCTGCTACTACTACTACTTCTCCCAGCTCCCTCCCCATCACTCAGGAGACAAAGTCGAGTTCAACCTCCAGTCGAGAAGTAACAGCCTCTCTTAGTAACAACAACATATATGATGCTAAACTTCCTCGAACACCAACCTTAGAGAAACTCAGCAGTAAAAGTCAACCTCAGGGATCACTCACTTACAAGCTTCCAACCATAAGAACTAAACTTAATATTGACAATCAAGATTCAGAGCCACGTCGATCGTCGTCTTTAGATTCTGACAATGTTGGCGAAGGGTTGAGTGAGGCATCGGTGATGGGTCTTCATGATAATTTGAAGAAGACAGATTCCTGTCCTGTAAGTTCTTCCGAGTCTCCTTCTGCTAAAGAACAGGATTCCATCACTTCCTTTAAGCCTTATACACCAAGAGATGAATTCCTCAACAAAAAACCAACAGATGCCGCCAGTTCAGCATATAAGGTAACTTCTACTAGACTCCTCACTGGTTCACCTCAGTTGCCCCTGACGAGCAGAGTGTCGAAGATTACTGGTCAGGATCAAAGGTTTGGTGATCCTTCTGCCCCTGCTCTCCCGAGCACCAAACCTCCACCAGCAACATCTAAGGACTCTGTGGGGACAACATTTTCCCTCAAGTCATTATCAAGCCTCTCTACTTCTTCACCACATGTTTCTAGCGGTAAAAAGTCATCACGAAACGAAGGTATATCATCCAGTACTCCAAGTCATGTGTTAAATATGTGTCGCTCTATAACAACAAAGTCTAGAAAGTTGTCAAGTGGTGGGGACACAGCCGGCGTTCCTGTTACTGATGATCCATTGCTTCACACCAACACCGAGACTCCAGAAAAACTATTTACATCATCTTGCTGGACAACACAACCACGTGATCCTAGGGTGGTGTCTTCTCCGGCTCGACAGAACAGTTTCATCACAGACCTGACGCCCAGTAAAACTCTTCTGTGTGATGATGATGACAAACCTTATGATCAAAACAAGGCAGAGTTGGATCCTGAAATGAGAAAGACAAAGTCATTTGATCTCCAACCACCTGATGCTGTTCATCCACCTATCACAACTGTTGAAGAGACAATAAACACTGAGAGAGAAAATTATCCTTCTCTCCTCAGCCTTGGAGTCGAGGATACGTCTAGCGAGAATCTAGGAAAGTCTGATTCCGTCGATAACCATCCTAAAATCGTCTCCAGTCATCGAAAAGGAGAAAGAGTTTCAAAAATGTCAAACGAAGCTCCAAAGAAGGAGAGTTCCCGACCCGCCGTCACGGATGATCTTGAGACAACAAACATGAAGAATAGAACAAGCAGCCTCAGTCCTGACCGGCCACAGTCTGGTCATCCGTCAAGAGAATCCGGAAAGCTTGAGGAGTCAGAGATCAGATCGCCTGCGGATGCACCACGGGACGTCGGGAAACTTGCCCGATCTTCTTCACTCAGTGCTCGTCTGTCGGCCCGCACGAGTTTCATCTTAAAAAGCCTCAAGGAGGAGACTGATGAACACTCAGCATACAGTAAAAGGCCAGCCAGGGAAGGAAATAATGTCCCTAGAAATGATCTGAAGTCTCCGGACCTTCCATCAACGTCTTTCAAAGATCGCCTCTCCTCCCGCACAAGTTACTTATCAAGCACTGACGAAGAGAAAGTTGAAAACCCCGTGGAAGTATCAGGATCACATAATTCTTATATGAAGTCGACAAACTCAAGGATAGAAGTGCAAAGAGCAAAGAGTGACACGACCAAACCAGGCAGTGATGAGCTGACCAGATCTCTCCAGTCAGGTACAAGGGAGGTGCCAGAGGGCCGTCAGGGACTATCACTCTCCCCATCCCGTGAAAAAATAATGCAGATCAATAGATTTACAACGGGTAAAAGTGAGAGTGTTCACCCAGAAGGACTGGATATAGTACCAAATCGACGGGATTTAAAGCCGCACCTACCGGGCTCTCCTTCAGCATCCAGTAGTGAAAAAATGGTGAGCCCCGCTGCTGCTGGAGGCGTGTACACAAGTAAACAGACAGAGGTTAAATCAAATAAGCAGAGTGAGGAAGGAGACGCACTACATGAGGGTACATCAGTGACTCAGACACGTCAGACCTGTATTGACAAGGAGCCCAGTGTAAGGCAGAGTTTAAGTAGTCGGTTTCTAGCATCTAAAGCCGCTAAGCACCCAGACACTGCACCTACAGGCCGGGATGAACAGATTAACAAGAATCTTCACCAATCAAGTGATATCAACGATGAAGATGCCGTGTCTGGCACTAAGTCTGCACCAAACACTTCCATCTATGAGAGGTACAGTGCCCCCAGTTGGAAGCCAGGGTCTGCTTACTCACGCATCAGTTTTAAGTCATCCCAACAGGGTAAATCACAGAGGTCATCAGGTCCGGACGCTAAATCGCCAAATTCTCAAACTACAGAAATAGACAAGAAGTCAAACAACAAATCTGGTATCAGTTCTTCAACTTATAATAACAGAGGCAGTACAGATTCCTCAAAAGCAACGTCAAGCACCAGTGGAGAGCATCAAAATCCTCACTATCCTTTATCACCAAGCACACGTCAAGCACTGGCACCAAGACCGTGGTCGGGTTTATCAGTTCGCAGGCTGCAAGACGTTTACTCGAGATCTTCCGAAAGTTTTTCGGGTGACAACACCAAAACAGTGTCAGTAACTTCAGCTGAGACCAAGTCACCAATTTCTCCTCTCCGAGATGCAGTCAACTTTGATGCACAACATAGCACCACGACAGGTGTTCTGGGACCGTCTGGTGACCGATATTATGGCACAGATTCCATTGTTCAAGAGAAAACAGAACCAGAATGTAAGATAGAGAAACGCCCTACTCTTTACTCACAGATTATTTATCATGACAAGTTAGCAGAACTGCAAATAGGAAATGTGCCAAGTGTCCAGAACGAGGGTGAGAGTGAAGATGACGCCACTACACAGCCGTCAGGGGAGACAGAACACAGCGAGAAGATTAAAGAGTTTGAGAAGGACGACCTTGATGATCTAGTTGTTGCTACCATACACACTGACTCTCATCATCGACTTACCGGCAGTGACTCGAGGCTCAGATCCTGTGATGAACTTGTTGAACCACAAATTAAAATTCAATTTAGCGGTACAGCTGCAAGAAAAAGATATCCTCGTCCTGCGACCAAGGATACCGTGCAGGATATCTGGCGCGCGAGGAAAGCGAGACAAAAATATTCCATGGCAGCAACGTCGAAGCAAACTCCCAAAACTTGTGATGAAATGCCAGAGGAGGCAGGAGAGGCAGGAGGCAGTCATCAGCTGCGTCGAGTTCGTCATTGGGTGAAGGACACCACCAGCAGTGAGTCACCGCAGGCAAGTTTGAGGGCAGATTCCTCTGATTTACAGCTCAACCGCCATCGATCTAACCTAAAAGGTACAATTAATACGACTGGAGGATCGTCTAGGGCAGCGGCGTCATCTATCAGCCATGACCAGAAGAAGTTTACTCAAGAAAGAGAAAATGAATCTGACGATGATGACGTGGGTAATTTTGTACCTGCCAGCACTAGACTGTTTTGTGATCCTGTTGCAGGAGGCCCTGTGTCCGGAGATCACGGTGCTCAGGGTCAAGAAGTCCAGACGGAGACACACACAACTACTACACATGGCGTGAATGTTACTAGTGATTTCAGTCAAAAGTCCGACCTGTTTCAGTATTCTGGTCCTGACAGTGTGGACGCTCACCCGATAGGAACTACAACACATAACTCGCCTCGTAAAGTAAAAATAACCAATCTTACGCCTCTGGAGACCAATTTGGACACACTGGAAACTAGGCCGATGTTGCCAACCACCGAACAAGGGTCGGCTGTAATAAATACGGAGCCTGACAGTGGATTTGACACAAGTTGCACGGACTCAGTAGGACCGTCACCCAACGAGAATCCTAACAACATTTATTTAACTGATCCTCCTTTTATCTCAGAGGAGACGGTGAGGGAGCCATTCACTGTGACCTCTGAAGGACGTCCAGGTGTCGGTTGTTGTTGTAGCACTCATGGCTCTCTCTTGCACCTATACTGCAAGTCTTGTGAGATGTGGGTGTGTGACAGCTGCCTGGACTTGGTGCATCAACCTCCACCACAGGGACGCTGCCAGGTGGTCACCGCGGCAGACGCTGTCCTCTACATGAAGATGGTCCACACGGAGTTCTTCAGCTCGAGAGTCAACACACTGGACCACTTCAGAGAGGAACTGAAGAAGCTCTTGACTGAGTGTGACAACAGCATCAGGGAACACGACGCCAATTTAAACCAACTGAAGCTGAAAGTACAAGAGGAAGCCACACTAATGAGAGGCATCGAATCTATGAGGAACCTCGCGTTGCAGAAGCTGAAGAAGGTGGACTACTGGGAGGAATTGCTGAGGCAAAACGCTGAACGCATCAGCCAGTCCTCCTCCTCGCAGGACATAGTGAGTGCCGTAGAGGCCAACAGAAGCAACATCCTCACTAGCATCATGGAGGACGTCAACCCCTTACAGTTCACTTTGAGCTACTCTTAGCACGTCTAAAGTCTCTCTATGTTTTACCATATTATAGAAAGCCTTATCCCTGAGGAGTCCACCATGGCCACATCACTGACCCCCTGTGTTTTAGTGTCCAGTGTTTCTCCTACATGAAGTGAAGTTTTGTTTGATTACTTGAAATTATAACTATGATGACATTTTAAACTTTTATGTAATTTATATCAATCCTAAGTTAGGGGGAATTTAACCCTATATTACCTTCCCTCACAGCATGTTAGCTTCAAGATCTATTGTATTATGTTTGTGCTTATTTAATTAGGCATATTCACTACAAGTTATTTTACAGTGTACGACTCTTCGTGATTAGTCCATGATAATACGTATAGTTGTTTAATCATTTCACTGTTGATGTTACCTTACCTTCATCATTTAAGTTAATAAACATTACCTGTACCTTTATCTTTTATTGTTACTCAAAGAACTAATTACGACATCTCAAATAATCTTTAAGAAATCCTCTGCTTAATCCTTAATCCAACCTTTGAGATAATCCATTATTTTTTCTGAATCAAGACAGTAAGAGTCAAGCTACAGTATTCCCTTAGCTTTAAGAAATCCAGCTTTGATACGTGAGACTACAAAAGCTTAAGGTGTGAAAATATGGTGTAAAATATAAGGTGTGTTTCCTTATCTCCATCATGTGTCACCTAGAAGACCCTTAGCTGTTCTACCATATGTTCTACACACACACACACACACACACACACACACACACATTTCCATAGAATTATAAATAACATCAGGTGAGCGTTTGTGTTTGTACCTATGTGTGTATGTGTGTGTGTGTGTGTGTGTGTGTGTGTGTGTGTGTGTGTGTTGGGCAGGTAAAACAATAGGTGTTAATTAACGTGTTATCGTAACAATAGCTCAGTGATAAAAGACCTCTATTGTTCACCTCTGTTCACTAAGGTCACACACACACACACACACACACACACACACACACACACACTCCCCTATCAGATATCTAAATAACTGAACAACAGAACAATCAGATAATAATGTAACAGGACAACATAACAATACCCAAACAGGACAACAGAACAAGGTGTACAAGAGACTCCAACAGGTATACTTACTGAGAGAATGTTCTTCGGCTTCAATAATCTCCCTGACTACTGCGCGTTCTTGTGGGTCCTCTGTCCTTCCCTCAATGTCTCTGAGAATTAGTGGTACCTTCATAATGTGTTGTACCGGCGCCACTAGTAGGTCCGTCAGCTGCAGCTTCTTACACCGAGGGTCTCTGTTACACCACTGTCGATAAGAGAGGAGGTGAGAGAGGGGGAATAGGTGAGAGAGGGGGAAAAGGTGAGAGAGGGGTTCGTTTTGCATTGATGAGTAGAGGGAGAGATGAGAGAGAAGGAGAGGGTTCGTTTTGCAATGTTAAATCTTTCATACGTCACTGTAAATAAGAGAAGAAAATCTCCACATACATAATATTTCCTTCGTGTAAATTTCCCTCTAACCTCGAGATTCTTCCCTGACTTTCTTAATATTTCCATAAATCACAACAATCACCCGTCCAGACCACAAGATATCCCGGTTCTTCTCGTCACTTCTGGGGAGGTTCAAAGTACACCCATACCCAACCTTCCCACAGAGACGCTCCCCGCCCCCTTGATATGTTTCCTGATAATTCCTAATCCCCGCTCCCCCCATGACTTTTTCCAGATGATATGTCCTGGAGGAACCATTAAAGGGATGGGAAAGGAGGGAGAGGAACCACAGTGAGGAGAGTTTAAAAGGGACGAGTAATGAGATTACCCGCGCGGACGGACGTTTGGGATTCGAGGCAAGAATGGATCAGTGTCGAGCCGCCAAGTTATGAAGGAGCGAGGCCGACTAGTCTAGGATGTCTGTAAGGGGCGCGATGATCACAAGAATCTCAGGGAATTTCGACCAATTGGGATATGAGTATTTTTCTTCCGGTCTACGATGATGAATTTCTCGCTGGTAAATGGCTGTTACCCTGCAGCAGACAGACACATATGATGAGATCCACTGGAAAAATGACTTTTTTAAGGTTGAAATGGAAAAATTGTAGAGCGGTATATTAAATTCTTGACATGACCTTATCACCACTATAAACTAAAAGGAATTTCAGAACATTTACCTGAAATACCAGAGTCATGGATGTAATAAACACATAAATAATAAGAACACTCGGCGACAGGTGTGTTGGTGTCTGTATGGCAACACTGGTGACGCTTTTGACCTTAAGGCTACAATAACACATTCTACTGTCCTGTGGCTCTCCTGCAGGATCCTTGGGTGTTATCCTACCACATGTCCTTCAGTCAGGCAGGAGAGAGAGAGAGAGTAAAGCATTTTCCCTGTTTATTCATCGCCTTTAAGACAAGAAACATGCTTAAACGAATCTAATGTACTATAGGACTAGGCGTGTGTCTCTCTGTCTGTCTGTCTGTTCTGGGCAGCCGAAACGGCACAATCGTTTTTCATCAAACTTGGTGGAAAAATCGCAAACAAATAGTAGAGTGGAACAAACCTGGTCCCATGTCGATGGTTTCTTTAGGAAGGCATTAATTAACCATTTTATTTACGATGGAAAACGATGCAAGTCTACGGACTTGGCGCACCCTCATTCGCTGTATGCTAGCCAAGCACGAGCGTTCAAACTTTCACTGGGCATGAACGTGCCCGCGATCACTTGTATAGCTCTATAGTTTATATATCATGTGTAGAACAATACTGATTTATGTGTGAACGAATATATCGACCTTGCCTTATAACGTGAGGGATATATCAATAAAAAAATGTCCCACGTATTTTTCATCTAATTTGTCTCACCTTCTAAGACAACCTTATTATTATTATTATTACCCTGGACCCCTTTAGCACCTTAAGACGGTAATATAATGCACGATTCTCTCATCTGGTGTTACTGAATTCCCTTCCCCTTCCCTTTAATTAATCTCTCTCTCTCTCTCTCTCTCTCTCTGCTTACCATTTCCCTCTATCTCCCTTTCCTCCCCCCTTTCTCTGTCCCTCTCTTCCCCCCTCTCCCCTTATCTTTTTTTCTCTCCCTCTGCCTACCGTTCACCCCCTGCCTTT